GCCTCTGGGTCTTCCTCTCCTTTCCAAGATACTCCCATTTTGAAGGAGTGTCCCTTGTTCGCGAATGAACCATTCCATCACGTCTCGATGGCTCCGGGACGATGCGGTCGACTTCCGTTGATGGAAAGATGTCGATCCGAGGTCGGGAGATGGAAACGAAGATGGGTGCGAGACACACACAGATCCGTCACATGGAACTTTCGGGAGAAGAAGCCGTCGCGTCCTCGAATTTCCGGGGTTTTATCCTTTTTCTCTCAGATTCCCCTTTCCGATTGGTCTCCCCGTCATCACCTGATGACAATTCGAAACCTTTCGGGGGCGCGGGAGAGGCCAAAATCGAAGTTTAATTCGATCTCCAAGCGGAAATGGTCGACGGACTTACATTCTTCTATTGTTTAAAAGTTAGCGTCGCGTTTTCATAAAATAAAATCTATCTCTAACTACTATATATTTTTTCTCTAAAACAATTATTTTAACGCGAATTTTAGTGAGGTTCGGACCTGTCCAGAGCCTCACATTATTCCGGAAGGAACGGGCGACGACTCACTCTTCGGCCGACAATGTTGATATCAGTTCGATATCGCAGGCCGAAAAGTCAGCAGATCACGGGAATGCTTCGCTTTCGTCAACGGGAAAGTGTAAGTGGAGATTTTCTCAGGTAGCTGAGGACAACAATTATGCAAGCAAGTATGGCGCCATCGACGATTAAATTTTTGAAAAGTTCGGATTCTCACACCATTCTGTAATAAAAATTTTATAAAATTGGTTGTGTTAATTGTAATAATTAAATGTAAAAATTGATATTGTAACCAATACTGTGTTTATATATATATATATAATAAAACTATATCCTAATACTGAGTTATTTTTTCTTATAGAATACAGACACGTTATTTCGTTTGATTGGGAAAAATTCTCGAGTTTACTGATGGATGAAAATAACATCGACGTTTCAAAAAATACATCAAATGGAATATTATAAGTTAAAGTTTGTGTATTCTCTATAAATGTATAATCTCTATGAGATAGAGATTATACATTGTCGCGTAAAAAATTTTGTTGTATTAATAGTTTTTTAAAAAAGTTGTATAATGTATACTGTCAAAATTTCTGAAAGATAATATGCTTTTAATTGGAAAGAAATCTTGTAACAAGCAGTACATTTTTATCTAGTAACAAGATACAAGTTCTTAATTAAAGTAATTTAATTAGAAAGAAATCAGTAGCAACCAGTGCCATTTTTACAATACACAATACAAGCCCTTTGAGTAATTTTATAAGATAGTAAAAATATTGTAAACGGGACTAAAAGTACCGTATAAGTGAAAATTATATCATATGGAACTCTTAAGCACTTAGGAGGAGCTAGTAAATTAACCTAGCTCGAAATGCATCTGTAAAAAACAATAAAAGGAGTTTATAACCTGAATTGGCTGTGAGGTAGTCTACCGGAAAGATTTTTTCGGATTGAAGAGACTTTCACTAAATCAACATAAAACAGCTAAAACATCGGGAAATTAAGAACAGTAACAAGTAAGTTATCCTAGCTATGTGCTGTCATACGCTTGTAAAACAAAACAGTAATTTAAACTTAGGATATAGCAAATTATTAATTTTTTTAATTAAGATTTTGCCCGGATTTCTGCATAACAGACATATTATCAATAATAATCTAGACGGTTAAATGCAATAATAATTAATTAATAGGGTATATGTACTGTACTTGTGGCCACATTAAGACAATTTTCAACTTTAAAAAATATTTTTATATTACAATGAAATATAGTAAAAATAATGAAAAAAAATATGTTTTCTTTCACTGTATGACATTAATTTTAACACTGTATAAACTAAATTTAGAATTTTTTTAAATGCAAAAATCACTAGTTTTGACCAAACCTGTACCAGTTGGGCTACCCCATGTTTAATGCAAGTAAAATTATTAAAACTGTTTTACGAGAATATTTTTTAATATAATTGGCAAAAACTAAGCATAATATATAGTGAATAGCTTCTGAATATTATTCCACTTTTAAACTAGTGAAACGACCAAGAAAAAATATTTTGTAGTTTTATACCCATCAAGTCTATTTTATATTATCGATATTATTTTATCCACAGCAGACAACTTATAATAGAAAAAAAAATATTACTTCCACAGCAAATTGTTATAAAACTATTTATTTTTATTTCACTGGAATAAAAGTAAAATCCTAATACTGTATAAGTATAATACTCTAATAATGCGTGTGGAAAGAATCCATATGGTGGCCAAAACTAGTACGTCATTTTTGGTCATCCCTGTGGGTGGCCATAACTGGTGAATCATGAAATATTTTGATCCACTTGTGGCCACGACTATTTATAAATATAAACTAAATAACCTTTAAAACACTTTATCACAAAACTAAAAAACCTTTATCTCACTTCCTAAAGCTTCCTATGTTAGCATGAAACAATATATTTATTAAAATATAAGCTGATACCTATCTTTTGGTTCCTTATGACTTAACATATAAAAGCAATTCAAATTTGTATTACCAAAATTAATGTATTTAGTCTTCTTCTTTAAATATAGCTTATATAGTAATTATCAAAATGATACAAAAATTTATAGAGGTGCCACTTTTATTATTTTCCGTGATAAAGATTTACTATTTCATCTATTTTCGATTTATTTCATGTACAAAATCGCACAGAGCAACGAACCATTTTAAAACTCAACAGTATTCGCATATATAGATTTTAAAAATTTAAAATTTCGAAAATACTATCACAACAAGTACATCTTTGCAATACCGGTAGTACAGTGGTACCTCAGGTTACGAACGCCCCAGCATACGAAATTTTCAGGATACGACATGAAATTCAAACATATTTTTGCTCCACGATACGAACAAAAACTCACCATACGACGTTAAATTAGTTCGCATTTTTCATTTGTTTTTCTTACTACAGTTATTTTTTTTAATGTATTACTTGGCTTTAATTTGAGTATGTTTTTCGCGTTGGAACGAATTATTTGGTTTTACATGTAATCGTATAGGAAAAGATGATCCACCTTACGACATTTTCATGATACGATCTCAGTTTCGGAACGGATTAATTTCGTATCCTGAGGTACCACTGTATTAGTATTGATCATTTGATCGAATAGTGCCGTCATCAGCGCTGCTAGTGAAGAAAACGTGCAAACCACCTCAGGCATCGACACACGTGTTCAGAGCAAATGTTTTTATTGTAGGCTGTGGTAACGAATCGTTCTAAAAGTAGTAGTCTCGCTCAGCGCGTATGCTATGCGGTGATGACGTTTCGAACAAAACTAACGAACTTCACGAAGGAACGAGTTAGTTCATTTCGTTAAGAAAATGGCACCCGACGATATCGATGTTGCTAAATCTACTCGAGTGTTTAAATTGTGAATTAAAAGGTGAAATGATTAGAATAACTGTTCACCCGAAGCAATCTAAGAAACATATTTCGGATAAGGCTGCACTAGCAACATTCATATCTTAGAAATAGCCATTTAGTTATAAACGAATCGTTCGAAAAGTCTAACGAAATAAGAATAACGATGATGTCATTCTCGTTTAACTCGTTCGACCCTACGTTATTAGTAATTTCATGATATTGTATACATTGTCGGTGATCTGATAGAATAATTAAATAAATTCGATGAAGAAAATCTGTAACATTACATTAGAATTAAAATAAAAAATATTTAAATCTGTAAGGATATAAATTAATATAGCCTCGTGTCAAAATGAAAGAACAAAGAACACCACACCATTTAATGGAAACTAGAATAAAAATTATATTTAGTCCGGAAGTACACAAGGATAATGCTTTTACAAAAGAAAACTGGAATGTACACGAGAGAGAGAGCGTCACCCCGATTTCACCTGAGTTCATTGGAAGCGGTTGACCTTGAATGCCAGTGGTTCAGTCTTGTCCTTGGATGCTGATTCTACTGTAGACGATGGGAAATTGGATATTATTAGCGGTAGTTCGAAGTTAGATAGCGAGGAGTTGAAGGTAGTTCGACTGCTACTTCTAGAGTCCTCCAAACTCATACTTTGTCAACATTTTATGCTTATATGTTCCCCTGTGTAATTCTCGTTCAGGGGTTAATCCATCGCAGTCAAGGGCTCGATTCGTTTTCTCAGGCCAATCACATAGTTTCGTTGTTTTTTCCTTGTTTGGTTAAAGGAAAAGCGCTGGCCTATCGCCATATCTCTTGGGACAATCGCTGTAGCGAGTGGAAGAGATTCCGCAAAGGAAGTTTTTAAACGATCCGGGTGCTTGACCGTTCGGGTAAATACATACAACTATTCCAGTTGCAAGGCAAGGCGTTTTTCATAGCACACGGACACTTGTGGTGTGGAATGCTTCATGCCTCTCAATGCCCTGCTATTCATCTGGTCGATATTCAGGCTCGGATTAATCTGTTCTGGCAAACACCCGGATCGTGTAAAAGTGCCCTAAATGAATTTTGTTTTGGAATTAATTTATCTTTTTAAAACGATTTTATATAACTTGTTTTATATCCTATCTTCAAATCTTGCAACTGAAATTTCATCCAATTCTAATACAGATAGAAGGCTAAAACTTTTTAGGACATAACTGTCAGATAACAATGCATTTTATTGTTTTAGGAGAGTGCCACAACATCTTCCCCATCCCCGAAACCCTGTATATAATCAATGTAGAATTTAATCACGCTATGTGTGTTTGTGTAAATGCACTATAATGGTATATTTGGTAGGATGGTATGGCTCCATCTCCACTATCCCTTACCTCAATCGAAAAGCATGACTCTTAATAGCGTTTTAAAACGTATTAAAATATTTTATAATTATTTTAAATACAATAATAATTTAAAATATTCTTTTTCAATTGTATTATTGTTTAATTATATATTTATATATGTTTTATATCGTACTATTTATTTAATAAATCTATATTTTAAACAAAACAATTTATGTTATTTTATTCAATTTCCTTGTTGTTCGGCATTTTCGTTTTCCGGTTTTTCCGGTGTCGTTTAACTCGAATAATTAAGTTTATATTGTATATTTGTCCTGTTTTGGATGTACATATATATACAGTATTTATTTTAACAAGAGAATTAGATTTGTAATTTGAAACAGAAATTTACAAGTAAATTTAAAGTCTATACTGTAACTTAAAGTTGTTCTTTGAATTTAGATATATGATAGGGATTCTTATCTATAATGATATTAACGTATGCATGGTTAATCTTTTTGCAGTTATTATCTGTAACATCGAAGCTGTTGGTAGATTCCTTGGGAAAATGGCATTCAGGTATGTATTTTATCTAATTCTTTAAAAAAAAATTATAAATTTTCTTTTACAAATTATACATTTTAAATATAAAAATTGGAAAACGTCCAATTTCTAACAACTTATAATTTTACTTGTGTTAAATTAAATAGAAACAAACGTATTTAAAAAGAGAAAAATATTTTATTAGGTTCTCTTAAAAATCATTAATTTTTATCGAATATTCTTAGCATTGTGAGTCAAATCTCTACGGTTTTCAGCAGAAACAAATGTAAAAAATTCATCTCTTTGTTTATTGGAATAAATTAATAATTTGCAATGTATAAAACTTTAAGGTTTTGTTCTTTACGACTGGTATATGATTCTATTATACATTCCTAATATGATATTGATGTGAAAATTATAATAAATTTATCTTGAATTTGGTATTAAAAATTAGAAATAAATTAATGATGCAATTTATCACCACTTTTTTTTAATTAATTAAATACAAACTGATTTCTTGTATTTATTTTGTTAAAACGCAACATAAACGTTGAGAGTTAATTGTTAGTTATTTTATACATACATTATATAGGGTAATCCAGATCTCTAAATGTAGGCGAAGAGCTCACTGTATTATACAATCTCGTATAAGTCATACAATACGCCATTTAATTGAATGAATTTATAAATACATTCCTCTCACTCGTGGAAAACGCATATTAATCCATCTGATATTGTGTGTGTATATATATATCATAAGAACATATTTTCGGAGTTTCGTTTTATATTTAGACTTTTGAATCATTCTGTTTATTACTTGATAATTTAATAAATAGCCTTATATGTCCAGTATTTTTATATAAATATAATACGTTTACCGTTTTTCAGATTGGCTGTTAGTTGTACAGTGATTTTTATTACATGGAATTTTAAATATATAGACTGCAATGAATATTCACCACTTCCTTTCAGGTAAATGAATAAAATAGAATTATAAATAATGCATAAAATATTTTATTCTTTCATATTTTTAAAGATCAATGCATAAATACAGAAATCTAGCGAATGTTTAAAATAATATTTATCACGTATAATTTATAGAATTAAGTAAATTATTACTTAAATTAAACTGTTTATTATGAATATACTGTACATATGTATTTAGAGTTTCCCAACAGGGTCGATGAAAGCTTGAGGAAGTCGATATAACTTTACTAATATAAGAAATTTATTTAAAAATATTATTAACAATTTGGGAACCCCTGTCTACTTAAAGTGAATTTTAACTTCACTGTTAATATAGAAAGCATTAGCAGTGAAGTATGTATTCATTTTTTAATTTTGATTAATTTTCTTTATTGAACTTGAAAGTATTACTTAGCTTTCTAATCACGATTGTGTAACTAATTATGTAATTTTTTACAGTAATTTACTGGTATAAAATAAAAAGTGAAGTAAATATCCACTAATAGATATATTTACTCATACAATAATATTTCTTTGTAGCCTATATGAAACGTAATCCGACCTATAATTAAAATTTGAAATTAATATGTAATTTTTTTCTATGCAATTTTTCTGTTCTGAGGGAGATTTTTAAAATTTACAACAATCTGTTACGATCCATGTTAGCTTTCATTAAATAACACCGGTTTCCTAACAACACCATTCTATCATTTATTATGGGTATATGAACTCTGAATAATTGCATAAAGTACAAACTTTATTCCTAACTCAGCAGTCCATATATGTATTTCTAAGTAACATTATGGTCAGTGACCAATCATGTCATTTCTTTCAAAGTTGCTGTGCATTTTTTATTTAGTTTACTCACATATTTCAAACGTTTGTGTTGAGATTTTAGTTCTGATCACTTTTCTAAAATAGAAACAGTTTATGCAGATAAGCTGCTAGCATTCTTCATCCAACTTTACTTCAGGATGGAAGATAGAAAGGAAGTTAAGACATTAGACAGAGGTGAACACAAGGCAAACTACAGGAACTTAATCCTTCCCCATTGACATATAAAAAACAAATAAAATTAAAATTTATTTTAATAAAATAATTAAAAAAAATTATTAAAAACGATGGAGTCAGATACTTTACTTGTTTGCAAAGACCCTAATCCATTTATTGATACTTAAACTGGAATTAGAGTCAGGATTAAAAAATTAAAAGTCAGAAACAGGTTAACTTTGAGAGAAAAAAATTGTTTACAGTATTTAGTTTACTCTATACCCCTAAATGCATTTTGCCGTTATCAGCCTTCTCAGTAGGGCTTCTCATAAACAAACCATGATACAGTTAGCCATCAGTGATAGACGCATCACTCTCACAATTTACAACGCGTTTACAGTTTTTATATCTGATTAGACCTTCCCAGCATTCCGCGGGTATCACGCCATTATTTAAATTCATTACATTATTTTGCATAACTATTGTGAAATGTTCCTTAAATTTCCGTTTTACAACATTTTTTTCCGATGTAAAGTTTTTATATTATTAGTATCAATATGACAATTATTCGCGTAACAATGCAAGAACACCGGAGAGGTATCAACCTTGAGCCGTATCAAAGCCAGATGTTCTGACAGCCTCACTTGTAGTTTCCTTTTCGTTTCTCCAACGTAAAACTTTGGCATGTCGCACGTGTACTGAAGTCTGTAGACCACTCTCTCCTCCTCCAATAATTCTTTTTTCATATAAGATCTTGTTACCAGTCCAAATAACCTATTTTTTTGGGGTCGGAGCTAATTTAATTAAATTATCACAAAAGGTTTTTCGATATTTTTCAAAAAGACCCTTAATATATGGAAAAGAAACATACTTATTCATTTCTTGTTTTTTTCTTTACTTGACATCTGTTCTATAAATATTTATCATACAATTCTTTAGAAGTCTTCTCCGATAGCCATTTAAAAATTTTTCTTGTTTACTTCGCTATCTTCTTTTTCTCTTATATCAGGTCTGGTCGTTCTGGAAAATATCTTACATATTTCCATCAAAAATATATTTCTCTTCTGGTTAATTGGACAATAAGATTTAAAGTTTATGACTTTTTTGCACTGCAGTGGTTTAAAGATTCCAGAGGAACCGGATAGTTTTTGCTATAGCTTACAGTGACCGTAAACGAAAATGTTCAGTTCCCTTTTGTGCATGCGCAATGAATGGATTGAACGGAACATTACATTTGTAACAGAAAGTGAAGAGTCATTGCGCATGCGCTGGACCTAATAAATGGATTGAACAAAGTACTGTATACACACAAAAGTCCTAACATGAGCTCTTCACTACTATAGTGAAGAGTACTAAAAACCCACAAATGCTTTTGCATTTCTCAACGATTCGGATAAATAGACTAACATGTAAAGAATGAAATTACAGGGTAATGGCACAGTATTCTATACGTACTGTACCTGTATTTATTTATTCATCAATGTGAGAGCAGCATCCTACTGATCATTTGGATCCGTCATAGCAAACAGGCCGCAGGCGTCACCGATCATGACGTAAGAAAATTGCAGTATGACGTCAGTGGAAAGAGAAAGAGGTCAAATAGTGGTTTTGATAATTGGACATTTCGGCGTTTGGATAATCTGAATTCTACTGTATATATATATATTTCAGTACTTCACTATGATAATTAAATATATATATGTATTATAGATCATTTAAAAATTGTGTCAATATTCTTTTAATGAAAATCAGATTATCCTAGAATATTTTTCTTCTTTTCTACGAAAAAAATATTCTAGAAAAAAAATTCGAATATTCGGAAATTCCTAATTTCTTATTGATAGAATTTGACGTATATGACGTTTAGTATCATTATGCCTCTAGGGGGCGTGGTATTTCCTAGAGGAAAAAAAGGAAAAAACAAAAAAACAAATGTGAGTTTATTACGCTAGACTTAAACATTTTGTCTCTTATTCGTTACAGATAAAAATTGTATTGTGTTTTAAAGTATTTTTATTGACTTATATTAATAAACATTGATAAAATTAATAAAATATTTCATTAATAATTAAAAAAATATTAATTTTAAAGGAAAAAATTTGAGATCAACACAACTTGGGATGGAATTGCGGTAAATCACGATCCAGTTGAAATTACTATAAACGAGGCTGTAGGAAACGAAGTGAGAGTGCAAGTATTAGCGCCCTTCTTCGACGATCCCCCTCCACCTGGAGGAATTCCTGGCAAGCCATTCCCTAAATTATGGGAATACGAAGGTGATTTTTGTATTTTTTTGCAGTTTAAAAGCATAACTTATCAATAACAATTATAATTTTATAAAACTGTATTATGAAGTCAACTGAATTTATGATTTTAATAGGATATGAGATAATTGGTTCCAGTTTACAAAATTTTCTTTAAAACATTTTAATACTTCTTTTGAAAGAATCGTGTTCCGTAATGATGCCAGCTATCTAAGGTTACCAGCTACTGGAAATTCTGAGGAATGACCACTCCATGAGTAGAAAATTCAGAGTAAAAGCAAAGCCATCAAACAAGATAATTGTGGAATGTATTACTGAAATACAAATTGTTACCTTATTACTGAAAAAGCACAAATTGACAATTTAATCTTCATTGAACTGTAAACAATAACTAAACCTATAAATGTCCTACCTTGGATGATTTAACACTATTTCTCTAATAGAATCATAGAGAATATCAAGACATTTTTGTTTTACTAAAATATCTAAAACTTGCAATTAAAGTTATTTCTCTAAGTGGTTGTAATGTAACTGCCTCTGAAAAATGTTTCCTTAAGTTTGGTGCCTTCTCTATAAAGGGGTCCACTGAAGATAATTCTTTATTAATTTAATTTTTTTAAAAGAACGCTCTTCATTTGCTATATTAAATGGTAATGTAAAAAGAATTTTTAGTACAGTTAGCACATTTGGAAATAGTTATTATAATTATTATTTAATATGAATTGCAATGTGTCTTGTGCATTATTTATATCTTTTTGGTCCAGATCAATTCTCATAATAAATCAGTTTCCTGGATTAAGTCTTCTTCAGTTATATCTTTACTATAAAATTTTACAAAATCTCTTGAATGGTTTTCTAGTTCATTTTTTTCTAATGTTTTTATATCAGTGATTAATATAAAATCAGAAATAATATTGGGTATATTTTTAAATCTTTCATCTCTTTGTACAATAACAGTATCAATTACAATGTTGAAAAAGAAATGTCTAAATTCCTGTACTGGGTTTTGTAAAACTTTATCTTTTGCTAGTTTGGGAAATAATCTTGTTATTTTTTGAATTATTTTTTCAGGGAACTTATGGTCTAAAAACACAGGTCTGCAAGTAAAAAACTGCATAGGATTTTTATACATTTTCTTACAGATTTCAACTTGGTAAAAATGAAAAAAATTCCATCTCTTCAATTGTTTTTTGTTACACTCAAGTTTTTGTTTGTATTTAATGTAATATTCCTAGTTAACTTAAAATATAGTATTCTTTTTTTTTTTATTTGAAAAATGGCCTTAAAACAAAGACTTCTCACATTAATTCTATCAATTATAGCTGGACTTGGTAATAAATAAATAAAAATTTTAATGGTTGAAGAGAGTAGTGGTACAGGGAGGTGAGTTAAGTAGTTTTAGCATTAGGAGGAAGGTCGCATGATCATATAGAAACAGGTTAAAAGTTGATAATGAGTAATATTATTGGTGAGGGTGAGCATGTTATCTGGGATACTAGGAATAAATATAAACAACCTGCTGTTGGATTAGATCATGTTTCAGCAAGCTAAATAAGTTCAGTATTTCGCTGGCCATCTAATGCCACACTCAGTTTATATCCAGTATTTGAACGCTACTGTGCTTGTATTTTTATTTCTGGAATATGGCTCGCAAAGGTTGTGTAATTTCTCCCAACAGCTTCTGTTATGTTTGTGGTGAATACACAGTGAAAAATCAACAAAGAAACATAAGTGAGTTTGTGAAGAAAGTTTAATTTATGTATTTCAAATTGAAACTTGGAGATCAAGACAAAGCAGATTTTTGGAAACAATGGGAGAAAAGGAAAAGAAGCATGGGACTCTTTCAAGAATGTAGTGCATAAGTTTTTGGGGAATACTAAGGACCCTGACTACAAAACCATTGTACAACACATGCTGGCAGCAGCGTATGAAACTCAAGGATGCAATATGTGCTTAAAAGTTCATTTCTTACACTCCTATATTGACTATTTTCCCGAAAACTTGGGAGCCTACAATGAAGAACAGGATGAAAGATTTCACCAGGATGTCCGTTTTATCGAGAGACGTTACCAAGGAAAATGGGATGTCAATATGCTAGCTAACTACTGTTGGATGCTCAATCGAGAAACTAGAGAAGGAAATTGGAAACAAGTTTGGAGAAGCATCAAAAAGAAGAAGAAAAGGTTTCATAAGAAAACAGAGTAGACCTAAAATTGTGTATAAATATCAGAAGCAATTTGTTGATTAGTTGTAAGAAAATTTATATATTTAGTTCATTGTAATAAATAAGAGTTTTTATCAAATATTTGTTTTTATTTTGCAAAAACCTATACGTGATGGGATGTAATGGAAGTTATTTTTAGAATCTGCGATCTTTAAAACATATAATTCAGCTGCATGGAATATAAAAATATTCCATGCAGCTAGAAAAAAATTTTTTTGCAGACCTGTGCAAATTTTGGATTTAATTTTTAATTTTATTTCTAAGTTAAAAGCAGAGTCAAGAACAATTGGTTTTGCTTGAAATAATTTGTTGTTACTATTAATTTTTGAAAATATTGTAAACCATACTGATAAGATAAGCTGGACTGTCTTTAGTTATAAATGACATTTCTTGTAATGAATCTAGTAGACTTTTAACTTCGGATACTGCTGTGTTATCGTTATTTGCATCAATAAATTATTTTAATGCATTATATGTTTATTCAAACTGTGTACACACTGCTCTATCTATCTATTTTGGCTTCTCTTTGAGTATCACATAAAGGTTTAAGTGTAATGTTTAAATGCTTTTGTATAATTTTCCACCTTTTTGTAGATGCAGAAAATATGCAGTATAAATGTTGCAATATTCTGAAAAAATTTTTACAACATATACTACTGGAAGCAGAATTACAAATTATCAAATAAAAAAAATTTTTTTTTAAATTTTAATTTCAGTTGTTGAAATATTTTTCTTGGGAAAAGATGAACGTTACTTGGAAGTTGAACTTAGTCCGTAAGTATCTTATATTTATAAATTAAGATAAATAGTTCATATAATATATTAATTCACATCTAAAAATGAAAATTATAAACTATGCTTTTTTTCAAACTACTGTATAATTTCAGTCATGGCCAACATTTATTATTATTTTTAAATGGAGCAAGGAATGCTATAAAGGTGTGTTAACTCTTCAATACATAAAATTTGTTATTTATTTATTTATATTCAATCGCATACAATTCAATAACCATACACATCAAATATACTATATTTTACTAATGACATAAAATGTTCTAAGGATGTAGATATATCAATTATGATATTCTAATATTTCTTTAAAAATGTTTTTTAAATAAAATTTTGAGTTATCAAATTTATTTATCTATATATATATAAAAATGAATGTGTGTGTGTGTGTCTGTCTGTCCTTCATGCATTACCACACCGTTTATCCAATTGCAGTGAAACTTTGGGAAGTTGTTTAATATATTCCCGCGAAGGTTTCTGGCATAGTATGATTGCCATGAAACTTTGGGAAGTTTTTTAATACACTCCCACGAAGGTTTCTGTCATAGGACATTTATCCTACGATAGATGGCATGTGTGTATACGAGCATTTTACAGTGTGTTCGATCGATTTCAAACTGTGAAGATCATTTCCCCCCTCCAAAATATCTCTATATATGCATTTGTGAACTGTTATTTACGATATTTGTAATAATTTTTGTTTAATCACTTTATTTCAACTTTTTTTTGCTAATTATGTATTCGCTCGAACTTCGTTAAAACCTTAACTGTACCCCGAACAACAACCGAAGTTGTAGGAAGAAATTCGCGTATTTTACCGATCTAGGTATCCCCCTTTTCCAAATTTTAATATCGACTCAAAATAATTTAAAAAGACAAATTACAATAAAACGGTTTATTATCCAACTATCAGAAATTTCACAACATGCCAAGGAAGAGAGGAAGGAGCAATTAAATAATCAAAATTATAAAGGATTTAAAAATATATATAAAAATGGGGAATATCGCACTTCTAACAATCTCTGAGAGTATGTGGGCTAAATTTAAAGAATCTGTGCTTCTCGCATGTACAACTGTATGTGGCCAGCTCACGTGTCGGAAAATCTGATTTATTCGTGTACGCACCAGACGGAAAAACAAAAAATATCGTGTATCCACAAGCACTCCAATAAATAAATAGAATTGAAACGACACTGAAATGTTTTCCCGATAAAAATGAATAAGTTTCAATAAAAATGATAAAATGTAAATTTAATTTTATCATAACGAGCTTGCTTGAATTTTGTTTCTTCTGAGATCGCAGCAATGCGTGACGGGTAAGCTAGTTTTATATAAAAAACATTAATTTAAATGAGTTTACAGTCAATTATAAGATTTCACAATTGTATTAATTTGAAAATTTTTATTTTTGAATTATACTCAATTGAAATTTTTAATTATTGATTTTAAATCTCATCAGCGTGCAGTAGAAATGTTTTTATATTGTGCCTAATTGCCAAGAGGTGAAATAACAATTTTCATATGATGTAATTATTACTAATATTACCTATTGTTAATTAATTATTTTTTCTTTATATGAAACAAAAGTTTTTATAACAACATAGTTTTCATTTTCATTACATCTTATTTTATGTTGTAAAATTTAGATAGTTTTTACCAATTATTGCAATTATTTATTTGCATGCATGAAAGTACTCTAAATGCTATATCTATTATCATATAAATCTTATACAATTTAAAAATATTGACATGTGTTTTCAACTCTGAATAACTTTAACCTGAATTGATGTATTTATAAATCTAAACAGAGTACATTTGTTAGGAATTTCCTATCATTATTTACATACTGTATAAATTTAAATGTAACTTAAAAGTAAAACATACCAAAAATAAATTGTAAGTTATTATTATTATTTTTTTAATATAATTTTTTAAGTGTATTACTAAAAAATAATTACAAGTAAAAATTGCAGCAACAACTTCCATTGAAATATGAAGCTAAAATAATTGGTAAAAAATGGTATGGATCAGCAAATATTCCTGCAGATTATTTTCCACCAGGCATCAATCTTATGAATGCTTATGCTATTCATGGCAATGACGAAGATAGAGTTTATGAAAGTTTATATCCAACACCAACAGGAAAATACCAAAATCCAGATTTGTGAGTAAAAGTATTTTTGTTAAAAAATGTTAAAACTACTGTATCTTATAAAATTATTTATAAGTAATCATGTTTTTTATTAAACATAATAATTCCTAATAACATAATATATTCCTAATAAAGTAATATTAGGAATCGAAGTTTGGTTTTACCAAATTGTACAGTTTACTTTAATAATAATCTTAGTTTTACCAACATAGGAAAATATGTTGTCTTTTGTAGATTATTTTCTTATTTCCTTCATCTTCCGTAGTTTCCTGTCATTAATAAATTTACTAGCTGCTTAATTGGAAGCTTGTTAATAACTAATTTTAATAATTTGTATATTAGTTTATAAATTTATTCAAAAATTTATTACTCTAATTATTTCTAGACTTAAATCATCAATAATCATTTGATTTTATTTTCAGTAGCAAAATGCAATGACTAATTTGAACAGTGAATAATATCTTTAAGTGGTTAATGATAATTCTTTTTTATTATTTATAAAGTTATATTATCGTAATTAGTTTCTTTTTGAACATCTTTCAAAAATGATTCTAAGAACTTTTTTGAATGTTGAAGTGTAACATCATCAGTTGGAATATAATGTGAAGAGTTTATTTTGTATTATCTGTCTGCAGATTTAAGTTTTACAAAATTATTCATAAATATTTATTAAACTTATAGCTTATTTAAATATTTTATTCAATGAGAACAATAAATTTACAGAATTTAGATAGAGGAAAATATTTGACATAAATCTTATATATTTATAAGAAATAAAATATAATTTTTTGGCAAATAAAATACAGTAGACCCCCCTAAAACACAGTAGATACTTCTGTTTTATATGAATTCCGTGTTTTACGAGTCACTTAAATACATGATCCAATCACAGCCTGGCACGTGTGCAGTTTAGGGACTACGGCTGTTTGAAAGGTTTTCTTCCATAAAATTAATTGATTCTAGACTAATTTGACTTAACATTTCCAAAACACATATAATTTTTTGGGAATAATCCATATAAACTATGCTATAAACAAAAAATTGTAGGATTACTTACCGAGAGTGCACCGTTTGATGACGCCATTGCTTAAGCTTGTTTTCATCATGGAGTGGTGCATTGAACGGTGGGCATGTGTTTCCTGATAAGTTATTTTTCTGCGAAAAATTTGATGAACTTTGGAGACATCATTAATATAAATATAATTTTTATGGCCATTAAATAATAGATGGTTTTTAGTAGGTCTGCTGCTCGTTTAAACTCAACGGTTTGTGCAATATCCGCCCAATCCTGTCGCGACATGAGTCAGCAATAATGTTTTACCATATTATATGAGTCTCTTTTAGCATGTTTATACGAACACAGATTCATATAACACGGCAATTTTTTTGCCGTATTATACGAATCCGTGTTATAGAGGGGTCTACTGTATCAGAAAATATATATATTTTCTTATATTTTATTTGCCAAAGAATTAAAACTTTTTTATTTCTAAAAAGAGGAGTATCAGGTAAACAGTAAGAGGAAAATGTAATATGAAGGCATCAGGAGGTTATTTATCTGATCACATATATTTACAAACAAGAACTTTCCTGTGTATGATAAATATTTAAATAATTTCTAGATTATGTTGAATTTTTCTAAGCTTCCTCAGAATCAATTTGTAGAAATAAAATACTTTAATAGAACATAGAAACACATAATTTGCTGTTTTTTTTTCTTGCTTAAAATTGAATGAAATAGTTATACTGAATACAAGACTGTATATAAATATTTCAAAATCCATGTTATTAGTTAATGTCATAATGTTATTAGTGACTGGATGGTTATATATAAGATTAAATATCCTGGAAACAAAGAATTGCTCAGGGGTCCAGGTAACATCACTGGCAACGCTCAATGCGATAAGTGGGAGTTGTGGGTTCAAGTCCTGCTCTGGACCGATTCTTTTCTTCCAGAATATTCTAAATTATTTAATAAATATTAATTTATTATAATTTTTAAATTGAATAAGAGATGGTGCCTAATGTCTGTAGTAATTGCTTAAAATTTAATTAATAATGTAGCTGAAAAATATCCCGATGCATTAGTATTATGCATAGTATTGTTTGAATATAAGACTAAATTTGAATAATAAGATAATTTTATAGTCTTGCTGAAACAAATATATTTTTTAAAGTAAAAAAATTTTAGATAAATCTTTTATGCAAGTGGAATTTATTAATCTGTGTTATAAATAACAGCATACAGATTAATAAATAAATTTGAGTTGTTTTTTTCTATCCAGATGAACTTAATACAGTAGAGCATCGATTATCCAAATCAATTGGAGACTGGGGTTGTTTGGAAAATCGATTTTTTGGATAACCAATTATGTACGAAAAAATATATTATTAATATAGTATATTAATATATCCCATGTTTAAATTTTTCTCCATTGTGAGTCGCTTCGTGTTGAATTTTCGTCTATGTTAAGCCTAACGAAAATTTTTATAATCATCATCATAGCTATTGTACTGTTAAAAATTATTTATTTTGTACAAACAAAATAAATATATTGAAAAATATAAAAACAAAAAAAATTATACTTTAGAAGTTAATCTAGTATCAAAAATGTTCAATTCAGCAAGATACAGTCCGACTGGAACCAGTTAACAACATTTCGGTTGATTGGCATTTGGATAATCAACGCTGTACTGTACAGTACAATCAATTCATAAAAAGATTTTATTTTTTACCATATTCTATAATCAGGGTTCCTACTCAAATTTTTTTTTTTAAATTCATGACTTTTCCTCACTTCCTCTTACCAACTCTCTACAAATTCCCTTACAGTACAACACATTGACAAAATAAAACAGCATATGATTTATTATGTCAGTATGCTATTGCTTCTTCAACTTTTAAATTAATTATTTTTTTCTAATTAACAGTTACATAATTTTTATAATTTCTGAATAATTAAAATTAAAATAGTTTTATGGTTGTGGATTAATAACAGGATAATCTATGGGGCTTTGAAAAAATAAAAAGCCATTATTAACAAATCCTGTATAATAATAATCCATGTACAAAAGTAAATATTTATGAAATGTATCTCAATAAATTTCCCGAATTTTATAAAATATTAATATACTGGGGAAAAAATCAGAAATTGTTTTGTTACAGAATCAAAATTATTTATAATTTTTTAATTCATTAACATCTGCTTTTCAAACTGAGAGTTAAATGGTAATTGTGAGAGATTGATTGATTAAAATTTTATTGAAATATTTTAACTATGTTAGATTATTAAGTTTATTTTACAGACTTTTCTCTAAAATTCATAATACTGCATTATTAATACAGCTGTTTTAAAATTTACAATTGATATTTCCATATATTGTTTTTGGGACTTAGTTTGATCTCCTGGAATTTTGCAATGCTCTCCTCTTTGTTGCATTTTATAATTCTTTATGTAAACAATTAATAGTGCAGATTCACTGATTTATTTCTTTAATTTAAAAAACCAATATGTCTGTAGTAATTATATAAACATTAAACAAAATTAAAAAAAAAAAAAACACAAAGTGATTACAATTTATAAGGTCTGATTTTGAATGATTTTAAAATACAATCTTACAATGCAATTGAATAATAAATCTTATGTGTAATAAGATCTTATTAAATCTAAAATTGTAAAAAGAAATGTAAAGATTAAAATTAAATTTTGGCTGATAGTATTTATATATAAAAGTAAATATATTGAAGCTACAAAATTGTCTGTGTTTCATTTAATGATGGAACATGAAGACAATTTTGTAGCTTTGATATATTTTGTCATCAATTGCAACATGATTATAAAGTGATCCATAGTGTAAGGCAAACATTCTTGTTGTGTAATGCTGACTGATACCAACTTTGTGGATTGCAAAACACAAAACAAAATGCCTTCTCTGTTGTGGAGTCAGCATTTGTTTGACACTTCGTAGAGGCAGTAGGGAAAAAAAGACATTTGTATGCAGACTTGAACAGTTATTCTATCAATTGGTAGACAACATGTACTTCTCAGATAAATAAAATAATGCTACCATATTAAATTATTGTAGTTCTTTTTGGAAGACCCTGTATTTATTCTGAAAATATTTTCCTCTAGTTCCATTTTCATAATGCATTTTGTGATCTGGAATATATGTACTGTACTTACTGAACATATAAAGGAATAAGCATGAAAAAATGTCACACAGATGAAACTGTGTGACATTGGTTATGACATGTGATCTACATTCTGCCAGTCACACAAGTCTAATCTTCCACTCTAGCAAACCAGTTCTGACATCAATCTAATCCTGGAATTGAGACAAATGAAGATTTCAAGTAGTTGCTATAATTTGTATGTAGTAATATATTTATTAAACACTTTCCTAATTATTTTCATGTTTATAGTTCAAGACAAAAAATAATTCCTATTCCAGATGGTGGTAATTGTGGCACATCCCATTACGTTACAGTGTACGGCACCTTAAAAAAATTACATATTTGCTAATTTTTTATTCTTAATTAAAATGTTTACATTACGTAAATTTTTTCCTAAATATGTCTTGCACAGAATTATTTTAAATTAATGGTATTACTTGACTATTTTATTAATACTGATAAATATCTTTGCAACTACTTTCTTAACTATAATGAAAACAATGTGAATACAAAGGAATTTATTTGTAACTTAAGACTATATAGTAGCAGTGTAATTGCATTATGCACTTACTAGTTTTTTAGAATAGTATATTTTTTGTTACAACTTGTGTTGATGTGGACTGTAAAATATATTAAATTTTTGATTGTAAGTTATAATAAAAGTTAAGGATTCGGATAAAATATATTTAAAACTTTTTAAAATGGTAACTATAGATGTTCAAAAATATTTTTTAAGTAATAGTGATGATTTCAATTAAATATACAAGAGATATTACTTGATTTTTAAANATAGAGAAAAATTTTAGTCAACAAAATTGTGTTATATTTTTTGGAAATTACTACTGTAGAAATAACAGTAAATATTATGATACAAGCAACTATATTAAGTCTGTTCCATAGGTTAGTAAAAATATTTAGTTATTTATGTATGCACAATTGGTAAAAAACCTGTTACATGTGTTTGACACTGATGTATTGTTTTTGGCCACTTGAAAAATCCCAGCACATTATTTTTATATTATTTTTAATCTCTAGTCAAATCACTTGCATATTTTCTAAATTAATAGGTCAGGAAGCAAATGGAAATCCAGGTAGCATAATTAGCAATGCAGATATTGCAAATTTGAGTCTCATTCAGAATATTCTAATTATTAAATTTAATAAAAAGTGTTAATATCTGAAATCTGGATTAAAGGTAAGTTAAGTGATCATGGCTAGATAAATCCAGTGGTATTTACTTGGTAATAGTATTTTACCTTTTGATTCTTATCTAATTTCTTCTTTTATTTCAATTATATAGAAGTGAAGGGTGACTAAAAGAATTCTAATCATTTTTAAGATCTTTAAAAAAATAAACAATACATTAATTAGGACAATTTTTACGGTTCAAACGAAAATTATAAATATTTTCAATAAGCATTACACCCAATATGACAAATTCATTTTTTTACATGGTTACACACACACTGTGTTTGAATCAGTTTCAAATTTTTCTGTGTAAATAAACTGGCAGTTATCCATACATAATGTGAGAACAGATCTGTTAATCCATCTTTTTATTTTCAGCCACCGACTTGAATATTTCAAACCTTTGGACTTTGAAAAAATTTTACCAAGTAATGGGAATTCTGATCTGTCCTGGATATGGAAAGAAGCTATCGAGAACAGTTGTAAGAAATTCTTTGCATTAAGTGTAAACATTAATTACAATTAAAAACATTTAATAAATTTTTTCCTTTACAGCCTAAGAAGATAGTTTTTTATAGCTGTGGAAAACAGATTTGTGATCAGATTTCTAATTCTAGAAATGAAAGAAATTTTTTTTTATTATTAAAAAAATAAAATCTGATTACATGAATATATTTTTCAATTCAAATAAACAATTCGTATTACTTTTATGCAATATTGATTATTAATATAAGAAAAGAAAATTGTGTCAATGATTTATTTATTTGATATTTCCTACTAATTAATTTTTTTTTAATTCTCTACACAAAGATTCCATGTCATTTTCCATTAATTGAAAATTAGTTCATTTAGATTACTGAACAATATTTCAATTTTTAGTTTTGTATTAAAAAATGTTAAATATTTTATATTTATTAAATTTGGCTACAAAGTTCACATTTCCAATCATTTATCCTTTAAATTGTGTATTGATAAAATTTTTGCTGTCTCTTAGAAATGTATAATGAATGTAATGCTCATTATTGTTACATTCAAAGCATGTTAATTTTGTATCTTTTGAGGCTACTTTGGATCTTTCATATTTTTTTTTTTCAAATATCCAAAATTGAAAGTTCTGAAGAATAAAGTTATATGATTTTGAAAATTTGCATCTAAGTCTATGGACATAAGAAAAATCTTGATACTGCATACCATTAAAATTGCAAACAGCAACCATTGGTAAGATTATATTAATACTAAAAATTATAAGTTACATAAATCAAAATTTTTTAGAGATTTGGTACAGTGAAACCTCCAATAACAGCAGTTTCTCACAATGATTTTTTTTAAACAAAAATGCATATAAAATAAACCTCTCAACAACCACCCTGGCTAGTAATATAGTAAAATTTATTTAATGACAACAATGGCTACTACCCTGAAAACAATACGTGTAAAATAATAATGCACTGGACAAGATGGTTAGTTTGGCTACTGGATTTTGTGTTTTTTTACAGCCAAGTTTATTAATCATAATTAATCTTTGATGTTGATTAACATTATAGCCAACTGCAAAAAAATAAAGTTTATATGAAAGTTATTTTCAAATATGCAGAGTTCTCTTACACTAAAAAAAAAAAAAAACCAGCCCAAGACTGTTCCTTCTTTACATATTTTTAACACACGTCTTTTGTCCTTTGCTAATGGGAATAATTAAAAATTTCTTAATTCTTAAAAATACTTGAAACATTTCAATTGTCAATTAAAGGGCTTAGTGGAAAATGGCATATCCTGCAAAACTACAAAAATGAGGTTAACAAATTTGGATTTGTTCATAAATCTCTTAAGACATTTCTGTGGTTCAGTTACGTATCCCTTGATTATACACCCACATTTATATGTGCACATTTTATTAAAGTGCTGATATTCACCAGCAATTTAATTGAAAAACAAATCTGTTTCTCAAACTTCTTAATGTGGAATATGCTGTTCTTTCCACAAAGCCATTTGTTAGAATTGGAATCGAATGCACTTTATATTTACATGCAGAGATCAACGAACAGATTTTTTTGAGTTTTTATGAACAAATTTTTTCTAAAAAAAAAATGTTAATCAGCTTTCTCAAATGATGAGAATTTTCTAATTATTAAACAATTGAAAAGATCATTACACCTCTGCACATATTAATTTCATATCTGTAAATAAGTTTAAAGTTATTTAAAATTGTTAAACAATGTTTTTATTTTGCAAATTTGTGGGCTAATATACAAATTTCACTACAACATATGAAAATTTATTGAAATCAGAAAAACTTGTGACAAAATTTCAAACAAATGAATTAGACTATTTACCATATTTCAAACAAATCTTTTTAAAACTATAATTTGAATTAATTAGTTTACTATTTTTTTTTTTTTTTATTATATGGTAAAAAAGATTGTTCAATGCTGATATTTCAAGTATTTATTCAATACTAGATCTTCCTTTCATTGCAATCCATAGAACAGCTACACAAAATGCAGTAAGAGTTATACATAAACACTTTTCTGTAACTGCTGAATGTCAAAAATGACCTGGAAAAAAAAATTTTGATCACTGATATTATTTATTCCTCAGAATTTATATGTAAATAATTAGTCAGATAAATGTTTAGTCTAAATTTTTTTTGGAATTAACAAGTGACAAGCTTTTAGTGTGTAGTGAGTTTTCTTCCAATTAATGAAATTCAATTACAGTTGACTTTTGATAACTTAGTGAAATGAGGAATAGAGAAAAATTTTAGTCAACAAAATTGTGTTATATTTTTTGGAAATTACTACTGTAGAAATAACAGTAAATATTATGATACAAGCAACTATATTAAGTCTGTTCCATAGGTTAGTAAAAATATTTAGTTATTTATGTATGCACAATTGGTAAAAAACCTGTTACATGTGTTTGACACTGATGTATTGTTTTTGGCCACTTGAAAAATCCCAGCACATTATTTTTATATTATTTTTAATAGATCTTTATTAGAATTTCATAGATAGCCTCTCAAAGTAATAATTTTGACTGATTCATGTTTAAGCACAAATTCCATTACACTGTGTTCTTGTGTCGAGGTTTGAGGTAATAACGTCATGTAATTATTTTTCTTCCAATGCAAATTAGAATCAAACATTTTTGTTATAATCTTAAGTTTTATTTCATATGACCTCTTTAAATTGCAAAATAAAATACACAATATTAGAAATTAAATAAATTCACTTGAATTCTGGATTTCAAATTTTCAAAAAAATATTGAAACAAACATTCTGAAAACTATTTCAACTTAGAGGTACAAAATGTGTTGTTTATGAGAGTTAAATTGAAACATAAATAAATCTTTTGCAAAGTCAAATCTTAAGTTAATGATGCTTGACTTAGAGTCAACTATGTATATTCTGAATTCTTAATGTCATAATTGTAAGATTTTTGGAAATTAATTGCTATTTGCCTAATGTCATAGTTAATTGAAAAATGAAAGTTTGTTAAAATTTCACAAAATAATAGGATCTGAGTATAAAATGAGTGTTCAAGATGATTCAATTATCTGCAAACCAAGCATTTAAAACCAAGAACAATATGCCATGTTTTGGATAGACATAATTGTTAATAAACTTTTACAGTCTATTCATATCAAAAACAAAATTAAACATTGTACAGGGTGATCCATTTTAATAAATTCAATGGAATAAACTCAAAATTACATATTAGTGTGGAGTTTATTTTCACAATTTGAAAATGTGAATCCTCTATTTCTGCTCAAATATATTTAGAAAAAATTTATGCCAAAAATCTACTTCATTGGTGAATATTTACTGGTAGCTCAATGTCACTAAGTTTATAGGTTACAAATACTAAAAAGTATGGCAATCACATGCTTGAACCACAATGTATCCATTTTAGTACAACAGTTTGTAAAACTAGTTGGTCATCTCAATAAATAAACCATTATATTAATCACACAATAGTTATATGACATTCCCACAAAATTAATTTCTGTTATGACTCGTGATCATTATTTTGCTGATACCATCAAGTCTTGCTGCAAATGTTTTTTGCTGTTTGTAGTTGAGGCTGAGTCAGTGACTCATACTCTCAAAGATAATTTACAGTTTGAAGGCGTGGATGTTTTTTTGTTAAGTGGAACTAGCCCCTAAAGAAGAGAAGTGACTACAGGATATGTCTTTGCTGCACATGTGTATTTCAAAGCCTGGATTTCAGCTCCATTGGTAGCCAGTGCTCATAACAATGACCTTTATCTTCTGAAATCACTTCTTGAATACTCGGCAATCAACATGACAATATCCAAGGCAGCATCTCTCAAATTTTCTAAACACTTATGGTATTTGTTGCCAGATTTGGTTGCTTTAACTTTTTTTGACAAGTGTAAGTTCTGCTACAAAGAGGCTAATAATTACAGCAATGCAAAATGATGACGACACTGAACAGGGTCACATTAAGTAAATCAGTGTTGACCCACTGGACACATTAAAGTCCTCAAGATTTTTTCTCATTATATTTGTGAAGTCACAAACTCTGAATTAATGGAGCTTCCAGATACATTTCTCACTGTAGATCCTGACCTGTGGAAAGATAGAGAGGATTACCAGAAGGCTGCAGAGTCAGTACATGCCATGAAAGTTGTTAACAACCATGCAGAACACATGGTTGCACTCATCCAGGAATTCAGTGGCCTAATGACTCATGATGAATTACAACTTCAGTATTTTCTGCAAGTTGTTCAACAGCACTGTCAGGCTTATCCAGACAGCAAGGAAGAGAAACTATGTCGGTACCAAAATAAACTGATAAAGTTGCATTGAACATTGTACTGAAAATTTCAGATTTTGTGAATTGTGATGTTTAAAAATTTTTTTGTTGAATTTTTGTTAGTAATCCATCAAGTTTTTGAATATTGTAGAGTCTACATGACTATTTAATTTGTCTGTAATTGTCCAAAAAAGTGAAACAAGCCTGTTTATCAAAACAGGTCTTTCATTTGTCATAAATTGCTCTTTTTATAAACTTTGTGGTCGTTGAGCTACCTCTAAATATTAATATATCAAGTTTAAATTTCTTCTGTAGTAATTTGAGACCAGTTGGAATAGTTCTGGAGGGTAGGACCACAAAAAAGTAAGCAATTTATTTTTTCCTATTTTAAGCACCACACTATTACATATCCTGCAAAAACTGTTTGAACCAAAAATGTTAGCCTCATCTTGTGTCCCCTTGAAGTCTAGCATTTTTGGTTCAACGAGTTTTCTTCGTAGGATGTATATTTTTCAAGTTATTCCAGTGAATTGATTAAAATTGATCATCCTGTATAATTATTGTATTTTAGATCACCATGAATAATAATTTCCTATTAAGAATTTATGAACTGAAGATTTATTGGATCAAAATATGCATGATCAATATATTTTAATACTTTCTTTCATAAGCAAACAAAGAATATTTTTAACCTTCAAAACTAGTCAATTGCTTTTTTTAGTCTTAGCTCAAACTTTTTATTATTAAGGGTAATTACTTCCAAATAATACTTAAGTAGTCTAGTAGTTATAGTTATCAATGTTTTTTTAGGATATGAAAGAAAGAAATGATATCAAAATAGATATTGAAGATTTCATTTTAACTTTCATTTGATATCACAAATTTAATAGCTAAGTACGGTATAAAGTTCAAAATTATTGTAATATGTATAACCTTTTAAGCTTAATAAAATTTATAATAAGTACTTTGATAAATATGTTAAATAACAAAAGTCAAGTACTACGCTTAAAGGGATTCTACACTTGGTTACTCTCGACTCTGTCTTGATAAGGCCCATATTTATATTTTGTACAATGTAATTTGGCCAACAGTAGGTGGTTAAGCATTTATAGGATTCTAGAAGTGAAACTCAGATGATGATCTTAACAGCATAAATAGTAATCTATTTATACAGTAAACAAAAAATGCAAGTTTAAACTCCACCACTCTAAGCCAATCTTTCTTTCCAGAATCTTCTAATTAATTAAATTCAATCCATATTTAATTTAAAATTATTAAATTTGATACAATATGGCACCTTTGAACTAAATTATATTGTCTCTTAATTTTCCTAAAAATTCAAATTTATAATTCTACAAATGTTCTAAAAATTTGCATTTGAATTATTTTTAAAAGCAAAAATATGAATTTTTTAATATTGAATTTTAAAAATCAAGAAATATACAAAATTTTTGGACTGATGTGATTAACTTAATATATATTTTGTTAATTACTTTGTACTTTTTGAACTGATAAGAAATTATCTTACAAAGTTCATTTTTTAAATAATGATTCTTAAAGAAGTCTTAATGTTAAATGTATACTTTTCTAATCAACATAATAAATATTCAATAAGTAAGATAAAAGTTATTAAATTATTCCACTTAAAAACATTATAAATTAAAATTAATATTTAAGATATCACCATGAAACAGTTAAGTAACTAAAAATTAAATATTTAAAAGTAGAAACTGTATTAGACAGAAAATAGAATATATGTTACCTCAACCAAAATACAGATATACAGTACAGTAAATCTTTGCTTTTACAATATTTTGTTTCATAAATTGAGATTATGATTGTGAAAATACAGGTTTAACTATATAATACCATAAGAAATAATCATGAACAAAAAATATTCAGTTAATACAATATTTCATAACAGAAAAATTATACCAATTATAAAGGTTGAAAGTAAAGGATTGTAAAGCAAAGGTTTTACTGTATGTATGTATGGATGTATGTATGTGTATATATATATATATAATATAAAATTTTCAAAATTACTTTGCTCTTTCACTACATCAGACAATTCTTCAGATACCACTTCCTGTAAGAGGGATGCTGCACTTATTTCTTCAGCCATTTGCTTTGAAATTTCTCCCTTATAAAGTAAATAAAAATGGTTATTTCTATGTTAAAAATGTCTACATTTTTTCAGGTTATCAACTCCTACCTCTGATAATGGAATTAATTTTGTAGGAATATCATCAAGTGGCAACTCATCAACGGTTTGAAGATCGTCGAGACAAGACTATAAATATAAATTTAACATATTTAAATACATTAATAATAATTTTAATATTTATGTTAAATCACACATACTGATATTTGTTCTCCACCAGCTGCAATATCTTGTTGTTCAACAGAAATATCATCCAAACCATCTATTGTTGCTGCTAGTGATGATTCATTTCTCAATCCAGAATTAATCAAAACAAAATTATTTGTATTGTTTCCTAAAGAAGAAACTAACTGTGGTGATTCAATTTGTCTGAAATGGTGAACATGATCTACTACACTAGTTCTTTGTCCAGGTGATTGATCAGCCTCAGCTAGATCTTTTGTATCATCCGTTTCTGCTTCAATATCTGGTTCTGTTTCTCCTTCTGGACCACATTCATATATCATATCTTCTTCTGCAATTTGAGCAGCTCTGTTATTAGATTGGCAAATTAATGGTGATAAGTCCATTCCTGCCATATCTTTTCCTTCTTGTCTTATAATAAAAATTTGAAAATAGTAAATTTCTAACTTATTAAATTTATTTTGTTTTGTATTTCAACTTACTCAGTTCTATTTTCTAAATCATCTTGATTGGAAGAAAAAGGCTCATTCTTTTCAGCTTTTTCTGAAGAATTCTGAATAAAACAATAAATTTTTAATTAAAAAAACAGATTAAGTATATATAAAGATAATTATGTATATTAAACACTAACATATAAACATGTCATACATCAAGAAATTATATTGCTAATTTTCATAACACTAAATATTTTTATGTTTTCATTATTAATTATTCTTATAAATAATAAATTTATATATATAAATCAATAAGATCTTGAAAATAATTGCCAAAATGCAAAAAATTTAAATAACTTTTTGCCTTAAGATCAATTTTATCAATGAAGTTTATCATTGTAAGGTTACAAGATAAACAAAAATTATAAATATCATCACAAGTTAAATTAATTTGTAAGACTATTTTGGAATGTATTGACTAATGATTATTCAAATAAACTATATAAATTTTACAAGCTATTTAATAAAAATGACAGTTATTTAATATACATTACATTTTTGACACATTTTAATATATATAACTTTAATATTGTTTAAGTCAAATTAATATTTAATGTACTTGTATAATTAAGTTTATTCAATTTAAAGTTCAAAACATAATTACTTCAGTTTTCATTAATAACTGAAAACTAAAGTAATGAAAAACTTGAGCTTAACAGCATCATCATCAGAAATAAAACATTAGTTAAATGCTACAACAAATGTTGACATTTTGGCAACAATGTAAAAAATCAAAAGCTCAAATAAAATTACAAATATGAATTTTAATATTGAAGAAAAATATCTTAAATTTGAATAAATTATTGACTTGCTTTAATGAGTCAGTCAATAATTTATTCAAATTTAAGATATTTTTCTTCAATATTAAAATTCATATTTGTAATTTTATTTGCTTTGACGTTTTCAACAGTATCAATAAATATATCAGTATATTTTACAAAGAAATATTTAATTTTTCAAAATTATTTTTACAAAATTAAATAATGAAAATAAATGGTAATTATATTCATAAATCAAATTATAATTATTCAAGACTTAAATAAAAGAAGTTTGATCCAAATCAAAATCAAAGTTTATTTGACCAATCCATTTTAACATTTTTTGATTAGATTATTTAATGTGAGGATTCATATATAATTAAATTTATATTTTTGATGTCAGTAAAAATTCTAAAATTCATATTTTTACTATAACATAATGCAAATTATATAATTTAAAGAAAGATTTAAAATAACATTGTTTTTTAATAGTTTAATAGTTTTAAATAAATAAATAAATATATAATAATATACAAACATATATATAATATATATAAAAATTTATTTAGTCATATATTTTGAACCAGCTGTTACCCGTGACTTTGCCCACACGGATTTTTCAAGCAAACCCCATTTATATTCAGTATTTCAACAACCATAGTCATTGTTATATAACACCTACTGCTGATAATGATGAGAATTGCCAAGAATCAAACAAACTGTTTTCAATTTGATCAATTTATAGAACGTTTACAATCGTTCTATAATAGAACCAATATGCAATAACAAATTCGAATCTAAAACGGTTTGAACATTTGGTTAAAAAATCAAAATATATAAAAATATTTATAACAACGTCTGAAATGTTATCAATTTAATACACCTAAGTACTCAATGAAGACTAAATGTAGTTAAAAACAAAAAATCGCATCTAAAATAGTACAGTAGAAGCCGTTCTTCAGGTTAAGCCTTAATCCTTTCTCTCCCCCCTTGAGGGGAATTTCGATAAATCCCTTCTTAGTGTGCATTTTCATGATGTACCCTAACTGTGTACCAAATTTTACCTCTTTAGGTTCAGCAGTTTGCTCTGGGCGATGATGAATCAATCACTCACTCAGTCAGTCAGGACAAGCAATTTTATATATTTAGATGATAAAATTTCCTTATCTTTGTAAATAATGAAATCTCTTAGAATTATCTTACAAAAAGAATCATAAGATTAGAAATTATGACTAAAAAATTCTATAATTATAAAAAAACTAGCATGAACCCATCAAAATTGACAGTTTTATTTAATTAAAATACAATGAGCTTGTAGAGAATCCAGTCTGCATTCATAGATTTCCTCTTGCTGGTTCGTTATATCAAATTGAAATAGTCAAATATCTTAACAAAACCAAACTTTAATCACATTTGATCTTGTATGGTAGAAGCTCAATCCCATGCAGTTAACAAGACTCTTAATACAATGATGTGCAAAACTTAAACAATGATTGTTTTCTTTGCCATAACTCTGCAAAAAATTACCTGGGATTACCCAAAAAATTCAGAACACAGAGACAGTATTTTGCACTTAAGGAATGAAGAAAGCATACTAGCACAAAAATGAATAGAACGCATACAGTATTGAATCAAACAAAAACAGGCTTTATTGAAAGAGTAGCATTGGTACAAATGATTGTCTGCCCAAGAGGGAGAACAAACAGATGTCCCTTAGTAGGGGATATGACTTCTGTTAACTGCAATGGCTTCTTGGCACTCTCTCTCCATACTCAATGTCAGATTATCAAACAGTTGTTGTGGTAAGAATGCTCATTCCTCAATGAGCATCTGTTCCAGTTGTTGGGTGTTCTCCAGCAGATATAATAATCACACCAATAGGTGTCTCATCAAAGCATCTCACACATGTTCTATGGATTTAAATCAGGGGGGTATGCTGGCCAATCCACTCTAGTGATATCTTCGCTTTCCAGAAGCTCCTGAACAGCATGAGTCTGATGTGCCTTGAGTTATCATCCATAAAAATGAAGTCTGCATCAATGGCACCTTGGAATAGACACACACGAGAAAGGATCACTTGCTGACAATAGCAATCTCCAGTAATGGTACTTCTGTCAAAAATTTGGAGTTCAGTCAACCTGTTCATCATAATGCCTCCCCAAATGAGCACACCAGAACCACCATAACAGTCTTTTACATGATGTTATTGGAATAAAACTGTATCCCTACCTCTCTCCATATCAACTGGCATTGAGAATCACTTCTGATACTGAAACGATTCATCTGTAAAGAAGACATGACTTCATTGATAAGATGTCCAGTTTTTGTGTTCCTTACATCAGTCTAAGTGCTGCCAATGAGATTCAGCATTCAGGACGACAGGCAAATAGGCTACACCATATTAAACTGTGATACTTTTTGTCCCATTGCTGTACACAGCTGCTGAGCAATGTTGCCTGCTGACTGGTATCAATCTCTTTTTGCCTGAGAGACAATATATCAGTCATCCATTGGCAATGTTTTTCTTCACAACCACCACCAACCTTTCTCACAGCTGTACCTGCAGTTTGGAAGGCTTTCCAAGCTTATGAAACGGCACTTTTGTTGATCCCAAACTTTTAGGCTACACTTGTCAGACTATGCTCCTCCTCAAGCTTGCTGATTATTCTACAACATGTAAAGTCATTCAGATGGTTTCTTCTAGTCATATTGCACATACAAACTCACTTGAACTTGCAGAAAATGTCTTTAATAACACCTTTTGTCCTCCTTTTTATTGTAGTCTTGCACTGCGTGCATGCGTTTTTGTGCCCTCACGTCACCTGTGATGTCTTCTTCCTGATGTTTGCATAAATATCACCTTTCTACTGAACTGGGTGTTCAATGTACTGATCACAAAAAGCCCTTTTCTACAATTTCATGGCTGTCTGCTTAAAAATTACATTGTTGCTTAAGTTTTGCACACTAGTGTACTTCCTTGTCCACTTTCAAACTTCACCACTTCTCTCTCTACTAACTATTGTCCTCTCACCTCTACTCTCAATCTCCTTCAACTTTTGTCCTTCTCTCCTTGGTTTTCCCACTTTTTCCTCCCCCCTTTTTTATGACTCTTTGTCTACCCTTATTAATTACTTTCACGACTGCTTGTAAAGAGGTTGGATATGGCCTACAAGACCACAGTCGGGGAGGAAGTTCAATGCTACACAGCTCATTAAAATTTGGCATTCTACACAAAAATCATCAATACAGGAAGTGTTTTCAAGCTTCTTTACAAGTGATTTGTGTCTACTTGTTCTCTGGTAACGTGAGGCTCCTCCCACCAGTCCCCTTTCTTAAGGGCTTCTTTCAATTTTGCATCCAAACCCTAGGGTGGAAATTTAGCATTCCCAAAGCTGACCAAATTCAACTAGCAGGGTTGAAAATTAACAGCGAAGGAAATGTCAGTCCACCTCATGGCAATCTCAATGGCTGTTATAAAACTCTTAACCTACCAACAGTTGTTTAATTTAAAATAATTGCAATATTTTAGCCTGATATAATCTGGTAATTGTTGGCTTATTACAGTTGTATGTGCAAGTTTATTCTTCTTTTAGTTAGTAGATTTGTTGAGAAAGCCATCAATTGGCATTAAGTAAGGAATTGACAGTTAGAATCATGTTTTGGTCTCATCATGAAGTAATACTAAAATAAAAACAGATTGGTGCTAAAAGTTAATAGATGGCACTGTGGTCAATTTTTTCAAAAAATTAGTTTTGACAAAACTAATTTATTGAAAAAATAATGCAAAATGTCTTTTAATTAATGCAAATTAGCAAACAAACCAGAAATTTATAGTAGTGGTGAGCAATAAGTTGTTCAAATGATTAAGAAAAACTAAATTGTTAGATGGCATGCAAGTGCCTAGCATGTTTGTCACTTGCCTTTCTCTAGACTTAACATTGTACCTTTGCCATTCCACCATGTCTGAACCATTGCACCTTTCTTAAATCTCTCTTAAGTGGCATCATCTACAGGATAAGAGCTTTAATTTGGTACCTGAACTGTATTTTTAGCCCCAACCATTTACTCAAACTGAAACCTTCTTTCAATTAATATATAAATTACTGATAAAGATTAATGTGCAATTTTTATTTTCTATACATTATCTTATTTTATTTTGGATTACTCTTTATATAATAATAAAATATATGAAATTCCTAATTGAGTTGTAAAATTAACTCATAGATACATACAATTTTAAAATTACTAATATTAAAAAAGTAAAAATCATTAAAATTACCTCACTAATTTCAGAATTTCTTCCAATTCCATTTCCTTGAGAAATTGAAATTGGTTCAATTTTTGCACGTTTATTGTAAGTTCGTTTTCTTACTGCTCCTGTGGCAGCAGCCACAGAAGGCACAACTTCAGTTTCTTCTTTAGGCTAATCATAAAAATACACATTATAAATTATTTTCTAATCAAAATATGATAAGCTGTCTACAAAAATGAATTACAAAGATTTAACAGTTAATACAGTAGAGCATCGATTATCTGAATGTCGATCAACCAAAACATCAATTAGCCAAAAGCTTTCCAGTTGGCAAATTTAAATTTCTGCTAGTGCTGTGGCATTGCAATCTTTGGCTATGTCTCTGGCTACTGCAATATTATTTTTGTTGGTGTGCATGTTTTAGCTGGCAGCACTGCCGCGACCATGACAGGGTACTTAATTACATGCCAGGATTTGAACGAATTTCAACATGGGATAGGTTAATGTATTTTTTTGTATATAATCGGTTATCCAAAAATTTGATTTTCTGAACAACCCTAGTTCCCAATTGATTCAGATAATTGATGCTCTACTGTAGTTAAAATTTAGTTAACAAAACTTATTTAACTTGTTAAAACAAACTTTTATCTGGACACAAACAATCTTTCAATGGATATTTTTTATTTTTTCATTTTGTTTAACTATGCTTAGAGACCCACTTTCATATTGGTGTTTAATTAAACAAAGATTGATTAATTATATTGTTCTTAATCATTATAATTTGTCTAAGTAACTAATACGTGGATGGTAGTACAGATGCATAAATTTTCACGTTAATTGATTGGTTTAAATGTAGTTAAATTAATGTTTTTGCTGCCTATGAATGAAACTGAATTCATAATATCAATAGCTTTCTTTATACCTATATAAAGAAAACTAGGTCATTCAGACATTATATATTGTCAGTGACTAAAATAAGTAACTACAGATTCCACTTATTCACATTTAACTAAAATAACTGGAAAAAGATATTATTCACTAGTAGATGTAAAATAAATCTGTTTAAATCACATTATAATAATCGAGATTTTCACTACTTTTAAGTTATATATTTTACATGATATAAAAATGGTGAAGCAACATACAAATTATGAATATAGTAAATCAAACAAATATAAGTTAATGATTAATCTAAAATCTTTTTGATAGATAATTATATACTAAGAAATTATAGTTAATATTGTATATTCATCACTGTCTTGATGAATAGTATCTAATAAACAGATTGCAATGAGCTTTGTAAGATATATTCTTCAGAATATGTAAATTGGACAGCAATTTTCACTAATAGAAAATTCCTATAAATTTACCATGTTTGCTTTATTAATGAAATGCCATTACCAAAATATGGCATTTGATTAAAAAACTTAATGTCTTATTTGTTTTATCCCTTTTCTTCTTCAAATGAATATTTTATTATGTAGAGTACACAATAAAAAATATGTACAGTCAACTTGCATTAATGCAAATTGCTAGGGAATAGTAAGTTATTCACTTTAATGAAAATTCATATTAATTATTTTCAGAGTCAAGGTCAAGATTGTTTAATTTAGGGAGTTAAGGCTTAATACTTATTAAGCCTTAACTCCCTAACTCTAAATTATATTTTGAATTAATTTACTAAGTAAAATTAAATTATTTACAAAAACAAATTAATGTTCTAAATGATTTTCAAACAAAGTGAGGAGGAAGAGATAATACATGCCTTTAAAGTGTGGAGCAGTGTATCAGAGTGGTTAAGCTATTTGTAGTTCACCAATAATTTCCTTCTGGAATTAAATCATTGTATCAATAGGTTTCCCTAAGGAAACCTATTGATACAATGTTTTAATTCCAGAAAGGAAAATACAGTAGAGCCTCGAAAACTTGGCACTCAATAACCCGGCACTCCGGATAACTCGGCCACACCCTGGCAGGGCAAAATCTCCTTAGTTAATTAATTTTCATTATAGACAGCTTTATGCCTCATAAATTATTTTTCTAAGGTCTGTCTTATCAGGTAAATTACTGTACACAGTGTATTCATTAATTTTCATTTTCATGTAGTAAAGGCTCTATGCCTTCATAAAGGATGTACCTTTCCTTTGTTTAAGGGTATTTGGGCAGTTTATTCTCTGTTCTATTCTCAAGCAAACAATATATACAAGTACAGTACAATATTTTCTGAAGAAACACGCATACTTATCCTTTTTTAACCCCATTCCCGATAACCCGGCATTTTCACAAACTCGGCCACCCTTCGGTCCACATTAGGCCGAGTTTTCGAGGCTCTACTGTATTGCTAAATGCCATCTAACATTAGAGAAAATACTATTTAAAATTAACCAATTGCAGTAAGAGAATAAAACGTTTTTATATCACTAATCACATAATTATAATATAAAAATAACCCATTTATTATCAAAATTAAAAAAAGCACATTTTGTATAATTTCCTTCACTCTGATCATTTTTATAGAGTAATCTTGCAACATATTCTATAAAAAACATTGCAAACTTTCCATACGGTAAAGAAAATCCTCATCACAATTATTTGTAGCATAAATTGTTAAATTGAAATCAGTCATCAAAATATTGTATTCTAGAACATTGAAAATAAATGGTGATTCCTTTTTCAACACAACAGACTCTTCAATTTTGATTTTAAACTTAAAAATCCCATCCAGCAATATTCTATAGCATAAAGTTAATTTTATCTTATAAAATAAATATAAAATCAGACAAAAATAAATAATAAAACAGAAAGGAAATAAATTTATTTATGGTATTTTAAATATTGATGCAAATTTCAAAATAAAAGACTACATATGAAATAATTACCTGAGAAAATGCATAAGTTAGATGATCTTCATGCATTTCTTTTGAAGGAAACTGACCAGATAATGTTAACTGTGTTGATATACTTTCAGAATTATCAATAAAAGCATCTGACTGTTCTCTTTTAACTGCTTGAATAAATCTATCCTTATTCTTTATAGGATTATCTTCTTGCTAAAATGCAATATATTAAAGAACTAGGATTAGCAAACATTTTATTAGTACAGGTAACCCCCATATAACACAGGAGTTATGTTCCAAAAAATTGCCATGTTATGTGAATCCGTGTTATATGAAACAAAGAACTAGTACGAAAAGGGGGAGTTAGGTTCCAAAAATTAAAAAACATACTATTATATTTCATAATTAAGATAAATATCTTTATTAAAATTTCTTAAACAATACATATTAATATAAATTAAACAATGTTTTCGTCATCACTAAGCACTATTAACCGAGGGCATTTTCTTTTTGGCAAGATATCCTTATCCTTTGAGCATTTTTCTGCATTATCTTCAGATCCATGATCTACCTTTTGCAAAAGATGTTATTTTAGATTGCTTGCTTTTAGTTAAAAGATCTTTATAAATTTCCTTATATGGTGCTAAGCACTTATGAAGAATAAAGCAAATATGGAATAAGGGAAAACATCTGGCAACACAAAATCAGAAGCGTTGAGATCTGGCAACACTGAAACAAGTTTCGAGAAGGATTACGTTTATCGACATAAGGCGGGAAAAGAAAATTTACATACTTAAGTACTAATAGTTCATGAAAATTATTATTTTTGTGAACTATTAGTACTTAAGCATGTGAAAATTTATTACATTTCATGTTGTACGAGGATTTTATCCAATTCTCAAACCGTCTTAGAGTGAATCTGTGCTATAAAAGCACCGTGTTATACAGGGATGTTCCCAATTCTCAAACCATGTTAGAGTGAATCCAGTAAAAGTGTCATGTTATACAGGGTTACCTGTACTCGATTGTATTTGTAATATATGTAAATATTTTAAATTCGTTTTGAAGTCATTAATATATTGCATAATTATTAAGTTTTTATATTATAACTAATTTCTGTCATTACAGTAATACATTTGTGGAAGTCTGAAATATTTCACTTATTGTATAATTTGTTTGTAACTTTTAATTAAATCAAAAATTCCTAACAAAAAATTTGCCAGAAATATCTGTCAATAATTTTTTGCAAGACAGATCATTGACATTTTAGTGACATTGGTAAGAATCAAGACCCAAGTTTCTTTTGGAGAGGAGAAATCTCTCCTCAACCTAGAATATTCCAAGATATGACCACTGTATGAGAATTCCTTGTAAAGAGAGAGACAACATGACAGTGTGATAGAGACCAAGACAAGCAGGGTGGACCCAAGAAATGGGACTCTGACGGTCAGAATCCCCACTTCTTATATCAACTGCCAAACTTTTATATTTATTTTCATAATTTTAATTTAATAATTTTTAAATTTAGCATAAATATTATATTAAAATCTAAATTAGAAAATTATTAAATTAAAAATAGAAGTTATTAAAAATTAAAGTGTATATACATTTTTTGGCACACCCTGTACATTAATAAAATAAGCCTAATGCATTATTTTAAATATATTCATGATAAGAATGTTTTTATTTTTTTTACATATAAAATTTTTTAATACAAAATATTTTGTTAAAAGTTAAAAATTTTCTGATATAAATTATTTTTTCATTTTCATTATGATTCTCTAAACTGCATGGAAAAATACATTATATTATATTTTAGTACATTATACACATATTAGAATTATTATGATAGCAAAGGGAAAAAAAATCTTTATTAATTGATTTAACAAAACAAGTCTGCAAAATTTATAATTTAATAGGATTTATCTATAAAATATACAAATTTCAATGTTTTGATAAATATTTAATAAAAAATAAAAGTAACAATTAGTACTGTAGCAATATTTATTAAACATTAATCATTAACTTTCTAAAAAGTTATATTTGTGAGATAAGAAAAAAATTGGTAATTGAAGGTAGATTTTTAAAAATTTTAATTAGAATAATTAGTGTAATTAAAGAAAGTTTACACAAAAAAAATATTATATAAGATATATTTTTATAAAATTTAAAATTACAGCAATTTGTGTGTATAATGCATGGATCGTCTATGTTTAAAAGTCTATATGAAAATGGATATGGGTTTAGTAATGATATGGAGCCATCCACTAGTTTTAATTTGTACTTATGAATTCATCAAAACAGTTTTTTCTTTGTCCAAATTTACTAAGAACATCTTTAATAAATGTGAAAAATCCTTTCATATTTTCTATATTCCACATTGCAATAGCAAATTAATGCTGTATTCATCTACTATTGTAATTTTTCTCAAACCACCAGACAAATATATACATCTTACTTTTAGTTCTCTCTTACTCATTTTTGCCTCTCTTCCATATTTTAATTAATATAATTACAATCTTGTACTGTACATATAAATTTTTAAGCTGCACATTTTCAATAATTCTCTGTCTATTTTATAATGACTACCTGACGAATACATTACTTTGATTTTCTACACAAATAGAGCTGAACGATTAACCTGCATCTTTGGATAACTTTTAAATTTTTTTACAGTTTGATTTAACATTCATTATTATTATTGTATTTGTGGTGTTTTGTTTACATGCTGTTGTGAAGTCCTAATGTTTCAAGACTAATGTATGTGGTATGATGCCTGTGCAAGAAAGGACTACTGGCCCAATAAGTATCTTATCAATTTTCCACAGACTATATTTCATAGATGAGTTCTGTGTTTTACTAATTTTTTCAGTGTAAGCATTTTGTGTGCTGTAGGTTTTTGAAACAGTTGTGTCTGACTTTTATGATTTTGTTTGCTTGTCAACAAATGTAATATCTGGTCTGTTGTAATGAATTGTTTTGTCTTTGATTTTGGTTTGTTCATAGTATATTTTGTGTATATTGTTTTCTATGACCATCTGATATGTGTGTTTGTAGTATGGTTCCTGGGTGTATAGTAATTTATGTTTGTGTGCAAGCTTTTGATGATTATATTTGCTCTTTGATTATGTCTATGTAAGTAGTCACTTTGTGTTAAAAGCTTGCAACCCAATGTGATATGTTGTATAATCTCATGCACAATATAGCACTTCCTAAAAGTCTTGTCTGTGAGTGTTGGACCTTAACATGTGCTTTCTGTAGTTTCTTGTATTTATAATCTAGTCTTGTATGACAATCATGAACCATTATCTCTCTCTGAGTCAGCCAGCAGTTTAATGCAATTTTTTCAATGTGTTCCTGGTTGAGATTGTTAAGGTGCCTATCATGAAGCTCCTCCAAGCCATAAACAGCACTGATCTATTGCACTACACAACACCAAGATATCTAATGGTATCTTGGTTTTGTGTAGTGTAATAGATCAGTGCTGTTTAAACTTATTGGTGAACTGTTTTTGTTTGCAATAGTTACAGCTTTGTGTAATTGCAATGTTTCTTGTTTTATATGGAAGAACTTACAAATTTGTATTTGTTTTAGTGCATGTTTAAGATAGCTGTGAGACCTCATCCTCCCTCTTTATATGGAAGAATCAGCCTTTCTATGGGACAATTTAAGTTGCATTTGTTGTGTTTTGTTAATGTTGTTCTTGTTTTCCTTTGAAGTTATCCTAGTTTTGCACCATGAAGTTATCCTAGTTTTGCTTCTATGGAAATATAGGGTATACTGTGATATGGATTTTGCAAATCATTTTTGTTCTAGCAATTATCTAAGCAATTATTTGTTCTAGTTCATGTTTAAGTGCAAATTATACACCACTAAGTTATTAGAAAAAAAATTGCAATATTTATATGATCCAAAATCACTTTCTGTGGAGAATAATATAATACTTACACTGGAAGACATATGTTGACTACTTGATAAAACTTGCTGAGAATCTAATCTTAAGTGTTTCAATTTCTTCAGAAAATCTAACAAAAATTCTGGTTGACCATCAGCTTGAGATATTATTTTTGAGACTTCTGCATAAACTGATTCTTGCATTGTACTAGTATTAACAACATTTTTTGATTCAACTTCTCTGTTATAAAAATGTTGAAATTTTAAACAGAATATATGAAAATATTTTAACAAAATAAAATTCTTACTCTTCAAAATTAGTTACTTTTTAATATATTTAAAATAAATAATCAGAATTATTATTTAAAAGTAACTTAATGCTTTTATATTAAAATATTTATTTACAAATGTAAGCAAGAATATAATGTAGAGTTTGCACACAATGTATTTTACATAATAAAAACATCTGTATAACTTTATGCATAATAATATACAGTGGTACCTCAGGATACAAATGCCCCAACATACAAAATTTTCAGGATATGACATGAAATTCAAACATATTTTTGCTCCACGGTACGAATAAAAACTCACCATACGACGTTACATTAGTTCGCAGCGCCTTTTTTATTCACTTCTGTTCATTGGTCTCAGTCTGCGTGTTTGCTTTGTCGTGGAAGGATCTCGCTCGATAAAGAAAATCTCGAGGTATTATCAGAAAGTGACTGATTTTATTGAAAAGAAACATCCCAAAAAGGTTCACACTGGTCATATTGCTGCTTGGAGTAATGACATTTGCCTAAGTCATTTTAAAAACATTTTAAAAAGTAGGCAAAGCCAAACCTCTTTGGATAGATACGTGTATTTTACCAAGCGACCTTTATCCAGTGAAAGCGCTGGTGGAAGTGAAGAAAGAAAGCAAAAAGCAGTAAATAAAAAAAAAAAAAAATATAATATATATATAAAACAACACTAATTTTTTTTATATTTTCTAATTTATTTTTAAGTTATTGTTACATTATGTTATGTAAGTTAAGTTTTAGTATCATTTCCCTTCTCCCTCTCTTCCGCCACCAGTTTACACCTCCACCATCGTCTATCCTCAGAGGTAAAGTGCAAATAAAACTACATTTTTTTAATCAATTATTATTCGATTATGGTTATTTATACATTTACAACTACAAAACGCATTTTTCAGTGTTTTCCTTACTATAGTTATTTTTTAAATGTACTACTTAGCTTTAATTTGAGTGTTTTTTTCCTGTTGGAACAAATTATTTGGTTTTACACGTAATCGTATGGGGAAAAATGATTTACCTTACGGCATTTTTATGATACGATCTCAGTTTCGGAATGGATTAATTTCATATCCTGAGGTACCATTGTACAAGTATAAATATAAGAAAAGTTTCACAAGTTTATTTTATAAAATTGCAAAACCAATCATATTTGATCCTTTAATGATGTCAATGCATTGTCATCATTATGCTCATCCACATAAAAATGTATTTGGTGTTTGTTGGCTGTATTCTTTTTGCTTTGATACATGTATTTGCACTGTTGCTCTTAGTTATCATCAGTTAATTATATAATTGTTAATGCAATGACAAAATCTTCAATATTTCTGAGAGAAAACAAAATGAGAGCTTCCATGACATCCATGTTTGTTATATTTTTACAACAATGGGCTTGGATGAACAAATGCCATCCAACATTATGTGTTTATAATTATAATGTAAAATACATCATGCACAAACTAATAAATCATGAAAATTGTGTGTACTAAAAAACTGTATTAGCAAAAAAAAAAGCTAAATATTTACACACATCAGTTCTCTTAAAGCATTATAAAATAAAAATTATATAACAAAAATAAAAAAATTATAAAGAATAAGACATATGACAAACTTTTAATTAAAAGCATATTAAGAGCTTTATTTCAGAATGAACAAAAGATCTGAATGAAGGTGGATTGGTTTAGGAAAATTAGAGAGAAATGGTTGCCATTCAGGTCAAGAAAGAGTAGAGAAAATAATATTGATTAAAATATCCACTTATGACAGCATGTAAAATGTTATAAAAATCTCAATCTGACAAACATGAATGAAGAAAGACAATCTTCTCATAACTGACTAATAACTGTTCTATAAACAAAATAATTACTAATTATATCAACACTTAACGGTTATTTATGTTATGGGCCAAGTGATTAATAGGACATTATAATGCCCAGCTATTATGAATAATGACTGAAATGAATGTGCAACCTGATAAATATTAACTAATTTATTAAATTGACCAGACACTATGAATACAGCTGCAGCCTTTAGACAATTTAATTTTTTAAAAAATCTCCACTTTTTTCATTAAGAATTATTTACTTTTTGGGAATTATTTCAAAGTATTTTAAAAATAGCATATGATCTTTTAATAGTAAGTATTATTAACTGTATTAAACCAATGTTAATGAAAAGTATTATTAACAAATTTATACTTAAACAAAAAAGAAAAAAAAAAAGTGCTTGTCTATGACAGGGCTTCTTAAACTATGGGTTGCGACCCCATTTGGGGTCGCTTAGCAAAATCTTGGATTCGCAAGATTTTAATGCAAAATTTTGAAAATAATTTGTGAGAGTTTGAAAATGGCATGCTTTGTGTCATAGGTTTCATAATGTGCACTTTGTCTCACTTCTGATGAAGCGAGACAACAATTCAGCAACACTGATTGTAGTGTGAACTAGTGTAGTGTTGTCGCTTCAGTGTATTCAGTTGTCTCTGTTCCATTGTAACACAAGAGTGAACTGTGGTAGTACACCATTATCGTTTTTGCAAATTTGTATATATCTTTATTTTATATTTTTTTGGGTCGCGAAAAAAATCATAATCGGGGTCGTGAATGAAAAAAGTTTAAGAAGCCCTGGTCTATGATAATCATTGATGGACATCACAACAACTGACACAGATAAAACACTCCCCCACAAAAAGTTATGGTGACAGTTTGGTGGACAGCCACAGGGATTATTCATCATTCCTTTCTAGGCACCAGTGAGACAATTTCTGATTATAAGAAATGCATCAAAAATTATGCCAGAAACAACTGGGATTAAAAGTCATGGCATTCTGCTGCTTCATGATAATACTTGTCCATCTATTGCATGATCAACAATACAGAAAATACAGCAGTTGGAATATGAAACTCTGTCATCCTCCATATATCCCTGACAGACTATAATTTTTAAGCATCTGGACTATTTTTCTTGCAGGACATATATTCTGTAATGAGACTGATGTTAAGAACGCATTCCAGGAGTTTGCTGCTTCCAGGACTAAAGACTTATCAGGCAGGTATCTATAATCTTGTCACTTAGTGGAAAATTGTTTAGATGCCAACAGTGCCAATTTTGATTAAATAAAATTATTATTTTGTTTGCTGAAATTAACTTTTCAAAATTTCATGTACAACATGATATAATTTCACAAAATAAATGTGTAACAGTAATTACACTAATATTCTATGTGAACAACATAAATGCACATTATTTTACATTAAATACCTTATATATAAATTCAATAATAAAAATTATAAAAAAAACTTATTTATCAATTACAAAAATTTTACCTAGCTCTTGTATTGGAAGATGATGGCATTGCAGAATTACTAGTATCTGAAAAAATTGATATATTTGGTATAGAATTATTGTCAGAAACATGTGATGCAGAAACTTCTCTTTGCTTGATTGGTCTTTCTGTTTGTCTTGACTTTGATGTAACTTGCTGGGTAGAACTTGGTTTATTTACAAAACAGGCTATTGAAAATATATATTTAAAAATTAATGGTAATTTAATTTGAAAGATAAACACTTTAAAAGTTGAAAATTGATCTTAATATTGGAACATCAATGTAGATCTAAAATTTACTTACAAAATAATCCTCGATCCTTACTGGAATTTGGTTTTTTAGTTTTTATTATATTCTCATGCATTTTGGTATTAGAAACTTGTCTTGCTTTTGTTCTGCCACTGAAATAAAATTATTATAAATTTTTTATGAATTAGATAATTTTTAAAACAGAAAGACTTTTAAAAGTTTATTTTTTGAAAATAAAGATGAATTGATTATTGCAAGAGAAGAAAAAAAATCAAGTTTGAACTTAAAACTTCTAGAGCAATGATGGGCAAACTACGGACCACGAGCCAGATGTGGCCCCTGAAATGTTCTATCCGGCCCACACGACATTATTCCTAATCTGACAAGTAAAAAAGAATATAGGCTGTGGTGGTTGATGCACCACTTAACTTGAGTGTTCGTTGATTATATAAAATAACCGAAGCTTTAAATCATGTACAAGATTTTGTTTTACACTTATTGAGTAAAAGCTCTATCGGTTACAAGCATGCGTCGGTACAGAACATCCACTCGTTGTGCATAGCGTAGCCGAGAGAGAGAAAAAGAAATATGGCGGACGACCTGCACATGTTTTTATAGCGCCACCTGGATTTTCAGATGCAGCACTAGGTTACAATTATTCGGCTGTCACACAGGCTATAAGAAAAATAAATATTTTCCTGTTTTCTCCTCTCTTTCATTTTATATCAGTGACAACATACAAATTTATTGACTTATCCTAGATATTGGAATTTTACATTGAGAGTGAGAGGCACTGGCTGCTGGCAACTTTGTAGCAAAGAGTAAAACTGGCAATGGAGCCTCCTCGCAGTAGCTACCCTCTCCACCGTGGCTAGATATCGAAACACGTTTCTTGATTCAGACCTGTTTTAGCATTGTTGGTTTGCTAGTTTTACTCTGCATATCGTGAAAAATTTTAGCCCTAAGATGTTATCTAAGAAATGTAAAGTTGATTCTGAGTGCCATGTTTTCAAAGATGAATGGACATGGAAGTACTTTTTCACAGTTTTTAGGGATAAACCACTATGTCTCATCTGCAATGAAACTGTAGCAGTCTACAAAGAATATAACATTTCACGACACTTCAACTCTAAGCACAATGATGTCAAGGTTAGAGCCATGACCGAAGAAGAAAGAAAACAAAAAGCAGAAGATCTACGCAAAAAACTATCAGGTCAGCAAAGTATTTTTAAGAAAGGAAATAGTTCTCAGCAAGCAGCTACACATGCAAGTTATGTTGTAGCATACAATATTGCTAAAAGTAACAAAGCTCTCTCTGATGGAGAATTTGTTAAACAAAGCATTCTCAAAGTTTGTGATATTTTATGTCCTGACAAAAGAAAAGATTTTGAAACATTAAGCTTATCTCGGAAAACAGTGACTTCTAGAATCGAAGCAATAGATAAAAACATATCATAGTTGGAATCAAAGATTGGCCAATTTAAATTCTGCTCAATTATTATGGATGAAAGCTCTGATATAAATGATACTGCACAGTTGCTATTATTTATAAGAGGTGTTGACGAAAACTTCTGTATTACAGAGGAACTGGTATGCATGAGGTCGTTGAAGGGAACTACAACAAGGTCAGATATTTTTCACAAATTTATGGAAGGAATTTCAACTTTGAAAGTACCTATAAATTGCATATGTAGTATAACAACAGATGGAGCGAGAAATATGACAGGGAAAAAAATCTGGATTTGTTGGGATCTTTAATGAAAAATATCCAGATAACAATGTTATATTTCTACATTGCGTCATACATCAAGACATCCTGTGTAAATCTGCTTTGGATATGAAGCCTGTACTTGACGTTATTGTGAAGCTGGTTAATGCTATTTGATCTCGAGGGCTTGTTCACAGACAATTTTGGGAGTTTCTAGAATCCATGCAATCTGAGTACTCTGATATATTGCACTACTCGAAAGTAAGGTGGCTTAGCGCAGGACGTGTCTTCGAGAGAGTTTGGCAGCTGAAAGACGAAATAGTGACATTCTTTCTTGAGAAACAGGAGTCTGTAGAGTATAAAATCCTGGAAGATACTGCATGGCTTTCGGATTTTACATTTTTTATGTATCTTCTCTACCACATGAACAAGTTGAATGTCAAGATGCAAGGCAAAAATCAATTTATCGATGATATCTGGGGCCATCTCAAAGGTTTTTAAACTACAACTTGTTCTATTTGCGAATCAGCTTGCTAAGAATGACTTGTCTCACTTTCCGAGGTTGAATTCAATAGCCCCGGTGATGAAGGAAAAGTTTAAGTTACGAAGATAGTCTGAGAAGACTCCATGGTGAATTTGAATGAAGATTTGAAGACTTGTCATTGAAAAAGACTTAGAAATTTTCAGCATGCCTTTTAATGTGAACTGTGAAACCGGACTTGCAACTTGAATTGATTAAATTACAATGTAACACTCAACTCAAACAGTTGTTTTTTAATGTTCCAAAATTAGAGTTCTACAAGTCCTTGTCGAAATCCACTTTCCCAAATCTGATATCTCATGCCCAGAAAGTTACTGCTACGTTTGCTTCATCATATATATGTGAACAGGTGTTTTCTACAATGAAACTTTGAAAAAGTTGCCTTAGAAACAGACTGACAGATGAACATTTAACTTCTCTTCTAAGAATAAGTGCATCCCAGTTCAAACCAAATTATGAGAAACTTTTAGAAATGCAGTCACAGTTTCATTCATCACATTCTCCTTCATATTCTTTCAGTCATTAATAGGGCTTAGTATCACAAAAAAATACAATAATTTTGTAAAATGTATCGTTGTTATTTTTTAATAAATTATATTGACCCGCCTAAAGTTTTCTTCCTTTCCTTTGGCTCCTTCTTTAAAAAGTTTGCCCATCAATGTTCTAGACTATTTCAGGCTGTATTAAAGACAAGACAATTTTTATTTAACAAAATTTGGGCTAAATGTAGACAATTGTGTTTCCATCAAGTATAAAGACTGATAATTAGAAATTAACTAAATTTAGAAAATTCTGTTCTTCCTGAATTTTCTAAATTTAGTTAATTTCTAATTATTAGTCTTTATACTTGATGAAAAGACTAATAATTTTTTTTCCAGATGACTTCTGACTAGGATTGACATTTTTCCATCTTCAATTAATTTCTGTTTCTCCTGAAATTGCACAAACCACTCAAACATATGCACAGGATTAACACTCCACTCCATAAATATTTTTCAGATCTTTGTTTTTACCACACTTTTACCTAACTTTCTAATAAAATTTAATTATAGCACATATTCATTGACACAATTTAATTATAGCACATATTCTTCATTGAATATATAATTTTGACATATCACAATCCCTCTGCAGCAACTAGAAAATGTTGATGCAATTTTATGATGTTTGTGCAATTGAAAGTGTCTCCCCTAATAATCAATAATGCAAAAGTTGTAACTGTATGAGCTGTACAGTGTAATGGTGCAAGTATAAAAAAAATTGGCCTCATTATTTAATTGGCACACATTACATATCTATAAGTAGAAAAACAAATCAACAATTTTCTATCAAATTCACATATTATATAAGATAATAAAGAGAATTATTGGTAATAGCTGTACTTTTCTCCAAACATTTCTTTGAATCCCATTTTATAATCAGCTGCTGATAAAAATATTACTAGAACAGAATTCTTCTATTTGTTCAATCCAATTTAACTGAATTTAATCTAAAATGTAAGTAAATATTTTAATTTTACACATCATCAATTGAAATATGTAACAGCTGGGAGTAATATAGATTTTTGGTACAGAATAATTAATAACTAATATTTAAATATAAGCCATTTACAATTTACATTATTAGATCAGTTTTAAATATTGTTATAGTACTTATTCTATTTAATTTTATTTTATATGAACATATTTGTAAAAAATAAATATCACTCTTTATAGTAATGGAAGTTAAGTTCTGCTAATAAATATTTTTAAAAAATAAGAAAAACTAATGTTATATATTTTAATTGAAATATTCAACAACTTAGTTAAAAAATAAAATAAAATTTAATAATAAAATCCACTCACTAATCTGAATTTGCAGTTTTCTCTGAATATGATTGGTTTTTTATTTGAGGCTGATGATCAGAAACTGTAGGGATAGAATCAGGGATTTGAGGATTTGATAAATTAGCACTAATAATTTCATTACTCTTAGATGTCGAAAGCATATTCTGACGTGAACAACTTCTAAAGTTATCCCAAAAATTATTGGCTCTAGTTCTAGGAGGGACCTACGATAATCAATTAGTAAATTTCTCTTTATTAATAAAAAAATAAAATAGAACTATATTAAAAAGTTTATAATTTACCTGATTATTTAATGTTGCAGCTACTGCAGTCTGTCTAGCAAAATTACAATTTGATGATATAGGAGTTGACAAATTAAATCTGTTGGTTGGTGCATTTGAAGTTGTGGGTAATAAAGTATTATCTGTGTTTGAATGCATACAAGCTGAAGTTGAAATGGGACTGGCTTGAGTGGGAGGAAATGATGAATGTGTATTTGCAGATGGTGCTGCAAGCCATGGACGAAATGTAAAGTCTTCAGCTATACGATCTTGACTTACGTTTGATGATGGGTGTAATAGTGTATGTTCTGAAGCTGAATTCTAAAATGATAAATGTAAAAAAAAATAAATTTTCAAATATGTTTATCATTGAGTTTATCTAACAGAAAACATATAAATAAAATTTCAAATTTAAAAAATGAAAATTTTAAAGAAAGTTTCTTTTAAAATATCAATATATATATATAATATATATATTTATATATTGTTTATATATAATGTTTATTCAAAGAAAATTATACAATATACATTGTTAAGAAG